GGTCTTAAAAACAAAATTTTGCCGTCAAAATTACCCAGAGATTGCTAGCGCAAATAGTATATCAGCATTTTCCAAGATTAGGTTCCTCAAGTCATGTACTGTATACTGTAACTTTGAAATTCCCACATTGGTTTGATAGATTGTTTGTAGAGATTCAAAAGAAAGATGTTTAAGTCAATCAGAAAAGTGGTTTAAAAACAGAAATTGTGCTATAGAAATTACGATTTATCCAGAAGTCAAAAAATTGTAAATGCATCATTATATAAAACAGGTCATATACCGCAAAATACACAATTTTTTTTAGATACAGTAAACAAAGCCACGTTGGGCATGAACAGATAAAGAAATTGCAATTGCAGTGGTCCCAAGTCTCTCTGAGTTGTGGGAGTTTTTCTGGCACAGTATTTAAATGTAATCAGATGTAAGGATCTCATTTAACCAGTTCTTTCAGGCATGGCTTTGTCTATTAACTTGGAACCACTGCTGTTGATGAAAATGTGTTGAAGACATCATAGTGAGACGGAGGTGCATGTGAAATCGGGAATATATGCAGTAATAATTTTTTTTAAATTGGAGTTTCTACTGCACAGCAACATCTCCCAATTACAAACTCTCGATTTTACAAACTCAAAATTGCAGCGATGACGTCATTACAAACAACTTTTTTTAACTACAAAAACATTTAAAATTGTAATTAAAAGTTTTCAAAATAATATAAACTGTTACATCAGCTAAGAAAAAAAAACATTTAAACCAATAAAATGACATGAAACTTTGTATAAAGCAAGAAATATCGATCGTTTCGATAAATTCCATTTTAAAATTAATAATAATAATAATCACTTTTTATATAGCGCAAATTACAATTTAGTCTAAATTTTTGTGCTATGCATGCTTGTTCAGGATAGAATCACACTTTTTGTTCATTGGATGGCACTGTGACTGATCCGCAATCTTCATGAAGAGAATAACAACACTTGTTTTTGCTATTATTCACGGAATTGAATATTTTGCTTCACAGTGAGTTCAGATAATTTTGGCTTCTGTACAGTGTTATTTTGTTGCAGAAAACTGTAAAATCCAAGTCATATTTAGTGACAAAAATTTGCTCCCATGGCAAGGCTTAGGGGGCCTATTCATACCTAGCCCTGTACTGCTGTATGTAGCATAGGCCTAGGCCCAACCTTACGAATGAGATGCTATGAAAAATTTGGGTGAGTTGAGTGGCCGAGCGGTAAGGCAGGGGCGCAGCTAGCTACAACCTTAACATCGGCACTGGTTCCATCTGCTTCTTGGATAAGGACTTAAAAATGGAGGTCCAGTGTATACATCTGACTCGTGTGCACTTTAAAGAACCCATTGCATCTTTCGGAAGAGTAGGAGATACCCCGATTTTATGGTTCATTTCAGCCCCTCTCGCTGTGGAATGATGTGAACATGTACAGTAGCTACCATGAAGCGCCTATTTACGGCTGCTAGGTAGTCACGGGCCACACCCACACACAATTCAGCACAATATTCTCCTAACTTTACACTTGCCTTACTTTAAATCAGACTCTCTGGATTCCCGACTTTCTCGTTTACGAACTCTATTTGGACAGAGGAGTACATTAATTGGGAGATGTTACTGTAATTGAGAATTTAGCAAACAATTGAATTAGCATTTCTTTTTGCACTCAGGACCAATCCAGCACACATCCCATGGAAGGAAGCTGGGGCCGAGTACATTGTAGAGTCCACTGGGGTGTTCACAACTACAGACAAAGCCAAGGCTCATTTTGAGGGCGGTGCTAAGAAAGTGATAATCTCTGCACCATCAGCCAACGCTCCAATGTTTGTCATTGGTGTCAATCATGAGCAGTACAATAAGAGCATGGATGTGGTGAGCAATGCGTCTTGTACCACCAACTGCCTTGCCCCTCTTGCAAAGATTATTGATGACAACTTTGGCATTGAGGAGGGACTGATGACAACTGTCCACGCTTACACAGCCACCCAGAAAACTGTTGATGGGCCAAGTTCCAAGGTATACATTCTTAAAGCTTATATTGATCTACTACTGTTGGTAATTGTTCATTCATACTGTATTTCAACCACAAACAAATAAAATTAAATGGAATGTAGGTATATACAACAAAGTCAAGCAAGTTTTGCTACTTAGCTACCTCTGAAATGGAGGAACATATCATTTCTCTATTTTCGTGTTACTTTTCAAGTAGGATTATTCCCCTTAAATGGTCCAGTGGCGAATTAAAAGGGGAGTGGGGCGTGCTGACCAGGTGCCCCTTAAATTTATCAAAATTATTAAAAGGACATGGGAAAAAGGATAATTTTAATCAAATTTTTGTCTGATAGTGCCATTTCCGGCCATCTGGAAGTGCCATAATAAAAAATTTGTGTACCTGATCAGCCCTAACCATAGTGGGGATGAGGTGGTATACACTTTCCATCAGTGAAAGTCCCTCTTCTGCCCCCCCCCCCCCCCCTCTATTCAAAATTTGGGATCCGCCACTGTGGTCTAAACTGCCCTAACTATTAAATTTGCACTTCCTAAAACTGATGAACTGTTTAATTGAATTTGAAAGAATTTTTGCTTCTTGTACCGACTTTTGCATCATTCTTAATGTACAGTAGAACACATGTAATCCATCACCTTTTGTCTTTAGAAATGGCGTGATGGTAGAGGTGCTCATCAAAACATCATCCCAGCATCTACTGGAGCAGCCAAAGCTGTTGGCAAAGTCATTCCAAACTTGAACGGGTAAGGCAAGCAGATTTTTTAATGGTAGTAGGACTCATAATTGTATTTTTCCCAGTTAAAAAATGGCAGACATCCACACTTGTGTGCAAAATATGATGTGATTTGCACAAGTTGAATTTCAGGTATTTGCATACTAGAAAATAATAAGTTTGTAAAGAGAACATGCAGTAGTGAAGCCCCAGGCCCCAAGTTCAAACACTCCCCCTTCCCCAGTCCTACTAATATACAATGCTCTTCTAACAGAGTCTTGACCATATGGTCTAGTAGAAGACACTAAAAAACTAGCAAATTAAAAAACCTAATCCCAGATTTTTAAAATCATAAATGTCCTAGTTGTCCCAGCGTAATCCCACGTTTTTTAAGTCAAAAATGTCCTAGTGGGCATGACAAACACTTCTTTTATAAAATATCAATTCCTCACCCAAAATGGTTACAGCCGGGCTCCAACTACCAAATTGAAATTTGAATGGTCCAAAATATTGAAGCAAATGACTACTGGAATTCACAAAACTTTTCAATATATCCAGCTACTGTACTGTTTCATATTCTATAATCTACTGTCAAGGTCCCCTCCCTCACTTTCATGACACCCATAATCGATTACCGTAAATGCTTGAATAAACGCTGCGGCACTTATAAAATTTTTGGAAGCTTCAGTGTGGTGCTTATTTGAGAGCGGCGCTTATAAAAATAAATATTGGCGTGGCACTTTCCATGTTGCCTATTTCACGTATTCCAGTAGTTTGGTAGGCCTATCATTCCTTCGTCATCATAAATAAACATTTATGAAGAAATGCTTTTGTCTTTATTTTGTTATTCTATTTAAAACTCTGTCTCTTAAAGTCTTTCATTACACACAGGGTAAGAGTGCTTAAAGGAAAAAAAAAATCATGTTTGGAGCGGCGCTTATTGAAGAGCGGCGCTTATTCAAGCATTTACAGTACTTAAATGCGTGGGACTCCCAACACTTTTTCACCCCTGGGTCCTGTGATTTGTCTTTACACTACTGAGAACATGTTATGATGTGGCATACAAGGGCCTTGTATCTCTTGGCAAAAGGTGCAGTACAAATTTCTATGTTATATATATAATGGTGGATAGGCAACAGTTGAGGTGATCAACCTTATTTATCATTCAAATTTCATTAGCTTGTAGAATTTGTTAGCTTTTTCTGAAAATCGATTGTATTTATTTTCTAGAAAACTGACTGGCATGGCCTTCCGCGTTCCAACACCAGATGTGTCTGTTGTAGATCTGACCGTACGCTTGAAGAAAGGAGCTAAATACGACGAAATAAAGGCTGTAATCAAGAAAGCTAGTGAAAGCGCATCGATGAAGGGCATCATGGGATACACTGATGAGCAGGTGATTTTCAGTTGTCTAGTTGCTATTCTTGCTAATAAATTTGAATGGCTTCGGCAAAACCTTATACTCGTCTGCATTAAAAAATTTTTGCTAGTGACTAAGATACCCCAAGGTACCCTAAGATTCAGTATTTTGATTATTTTCAGTATTCACTAATACTCAAACAATTCTCATCAAATAACATGTTTTTAAGAGTATAGAACTACAAGTGGTTCAACTCTCAGTATTTTGTTGAATGCAATCCTATCTAAATGCACTATAATGACTTAAAGGGTGATTTTTAAAGGTGTTTGTATCTAACGCGTACTGCATCCATGTTTCAAGTTTCGAACTCTATTCAAATTCTTATAGGGCACCCGGTATCTAAACTCTATTCAATTCATAATAGTGCGCCCCCTATCTTGTAGTAGTACTTTGTTAATTTGTTTCAATGCCTGCACGCATAATCAGGACAGTTGGACTTCTTGCAATTATATACTCTTTGGCTATTACCTGAAAAATTTAAAAATTCAGAAAACGTATATTTTTTATCCACCTCCTTCTGCTGATCTTTAACCAATTAACCTCGCTAAACAGCGTATAAAAACAGTCTTGGTAATAAATACTCGGATTCAACATCATACGTGTTTCCTACTTCCTGCTTTAATGTAGGTCGTATCCATGGACTTCCGTGGGGATAACCGCTCAAGTGTCTTTGATGCTGGGGCTGGTATTGCTCTGAATGACAATTTCGTCAAACTCGTTTCATGGTAAGTGAATTCCCTTATTTTGAGAGGAGTCCTTATATATCTTGAGTTTGTAATCAGTTTAAATTTTATATATTGCTTGTAAAAGAATTTTTTTTTTGTGTGTAACTGAACCATTTTAGAATTTTGTTTATGACTGGTTACAACATTTTAATCTCTTTGTTCCATTCATGGACATTTTGTGAGGTCTCATTGCAAAATTAGTCACATGGTTGGCGAGATGAAAATACTGTATATTTGAATTTATAGATCACCTTCATAAGTTTCAATTTGATTTTTGTGAATGTATTGCCACTTTAATAGAGAAGTATTAAGTTCACAGTTTGGCACATCTTTGTCCTTGTGCCTAAAAAATAAAATATTTAAAAATAAATATTTCACACAAATATGAGCATATCACATTTATTTGTCACATGAAATTTGATATAGCTCTGTCCACACTATCACATTTTATGTGACAAATTTGTGTGATGTGACCATATATGGGCATGATGATGTCATATTACACCCAAATATGGGCACATTACATTTATTTGTCACATAAAATTTTGATATGTGGACAGAGATTAATGTGGACAGTAGATCAAGGGATGTGAGCACTCAAAGTTTAGGTGTATGAGAAACTGGTTTTGAGAAACAACTTCAAATTTTATGCTAACAATAACCAACGAATAGAATAGGAAGACCAAAATCTGCTTAATAAAGCATCTTAAAGTTTAGTAGACCGATTCTGCTAGTTTGGTCATGTGACAGTATGTATAAACTGTTAACAGGCAGCGCGAGTGACGTTCGATAATGGGAAAACGTGGATTCTTCTGCTGTAAAGCACATATTTGATGTTGAATAATGTTGGCTTGAATGCCAGTAAACTATACTATTAAAATTGAACTTTAGAATTTTGGTAATCCTCCTCCAAAAAAATACTGGCCCCAAACATTGAGATTTTTTGAGAAATGCTAGGCCTCTGCATATCTATGCGCTGTTGAGGTGTGCACAAGAGCCTTCGATCCCCGAACTACGATTTTTAGGCTAGCTAAGTTTACGAAGGATCACATAAATTCCAAAGCATACAAATCACAGAGAATGCTACAATAAGTAAATAAATGCTATTTTGAACAATCATAGTGCCTTTCCTTGCCTTTTATTCCCTTTTATTTCTCGCGATAATAATGGGTGGTTGTTTTCGCAACCATTGCATTACCTTTTCCTATACTTCCACACTGATCGCGCTTTAAGTTAGCCTTAGATATATCCATTATACGTCGTGTGACCAGCTGTAAACAAACCTCGCGGAATGGTCTATTGACTCAAGATCAAAGATCTTATAATAACAAGATAGTGTTTTCCACGATTTCTGCATGCAAATTCTGTAATAAAGCATTGTACGGGGCAATTACAATTACTTTTGAACTTTGACATCTATGATCGATTTCTGCATGCAAATTCTGTAATAAAGCATTGTACGGGGCAATTACAATTACTTTTGAACTTTGACATCTATGATCTACGTGCAAATTTACACCAACCATGTAGGACACCCTTTCTTAATTACAATTACTTTCTATTGTTTTTCACTGAACATTGACACTTCTATTTGTTACGCATAGAATCGTGGAGAGCACTATCTTGTAATTATAAGGTCATTGCTCAAAATATATATTCTCTCAGAATGTAAGTATCAAAGTATTGAAAACTGTCTTTAATTGTGAGGCCGGAGCCTGCATTTATTAACAAGTCCATCAACAGTAATTTTCTTTTCTGCATTAAAATAAAAGAACTGCAAGATATTCAATTGTACAATTGTGTACCCTACATTTTTGTTACTTTTGGTATTTGTGTGCGTCTACATTGATATATTTATTTAATGAAATAAATATATTATGAATTATCTCTTAATAACATGTATTACAAAGCCGAACTAATGTTTATGTACCATGTATATGAATTTTCTTAAAATATCTTGAATAATAATATTTATTGCAATTACCAAAATAACATTTTTTAATTTTAAAACACTAATTTTTTAGGTATGATAATGAGTTTGCTTACAGTCTGCGTGTCATTGATCTAATCTCTCACATGGCCAGTAAACAGTAAACAGCGCCCTCAAGATGATGTGAAATTCTACAGCTACATTGGACCAGGCTGGTTTAACTCTATTCAAATTTTTGTTAATATTTTACTTGTTTTTTCAAATGGATTATCAGATATTTAAATTGAAATTGTTGATTATTTTCTTATTTAATTACTCAATCCATACTTTAGTCTAACTAGAAGGTCCTAGTATATTTTGAAATTAAGGTTGACTTTTAACATAAAATGTTTAAATGAGGATTGTTAAAATATATAAACATATATATACAAAAGGTGTTTGTAGTTGGGCATAGATCTCATAAATTGTAGTCACAATTTTACATGAATTATGGAAACATAAATGTGCTTGTATTATTGATAGTTGTGTGGTTACTATCATTATAACAGTAATTTTTGAATAATTGAATTTTAAATTATTTTTATCCAAATTATCTTGAAATCTTGCATATCAGGATAAATATTTTTCCCATCCTGCTTCAAAGCCGATTTAGATTAGTGCTCACCGTTCTTTCAAATTGTACACAAAACTTTTTCCATTTTTGAACAGTACCGTTGTTCCCAATTGTGCAAAGAACATTCTGCATTCAGATTTTAGGAAGTTGCTTGGACTACAGATGGCATTGATCAAAATGTATTCAATTGATAAACGTATTAAAGTGCTCTGCTAACTCGAGTTTTACATGTCTACCAATGTATAACCATGTCGATGATGTAGCTATATATTCCAACAAAATTGTCCACCCTTAATCCATACCCTTTTGTGGTGCTTAAATCTGGTAGGTGTGGTAGGTGGATACAAATATATTTTAGAAAATTGTTACAATTTGTGGTTCAGTGACATGCATATTGCTAAATTATATTATAATAAACAACTTTCCACATTCAGTCCAATACAGAGTCTGTTTTCTTTCATTTATTGCAGTAGGGTCTAAATGTATGTAAAGTGTTTACAAACATATTTAATGAGACACTTGATGATCACTATTGTTGGATGCAAATGGAGTGATGTTTCATGTCGTGCAAGTGGGGAGGCTTAGGTTACACTTGTTACTTATTGCTTGTATAGCGCTTTTCCTTTCAGTAATGAAGCGCTGTAAGATTTTCCCTGGTCATTGGGTCCACGTACTTAAGTGTTGCTGCTATATTGGCACAGTAGCAGGCAACCCCACCAGGTACCCATTTATACAGTATTGGGTGGAGAGTAGACTTGCCACAAGTCAATTATTTTTTATTATTTTTCTCATTCTGGACAGCGCCACCAACGAGAAAGTTAATTTAGAGACGGAATAACCCGAAAAAAAGAAATCGAGTATGGGACGCAAATTAAATTAGGTATGGCGCGCACTAAGTGCAATAAAGAGTGAGTAACCAAAATTAGGGCCTGGAACCCAGGCTAGGTGGAGAAAAGCAGTGAAGATAAGTGACTTGCTTAAGGACACAAGTGAAATGCACAGCCAGGGATTGAAACCTCAAGGTTGGGAAACCAAACGGTTCCTGCTGCGCCAAACCGCTTCTTAAGATCATTAAAGTTATGATGAAAAAAAAAAACCTCCATACAGGTATGTCAAATAGGGAGTAAAAATTAAGTTAACATTGCTTTCAAGTCATAATTTGGGTTACTCAATGTGCACCATACCGACTGTAAGTGGCATCCATAAAAGTATAATAAGAATACTAGAGCGCTAACTGCAATATATTCAATGTTTGAAATACGCAGAGCTGTGTGTGTGTGTGTGTACCATCGAAGATGGCTGCCGTAGAGTCGGCCAATCAAAATTTGTTTTCAATGGGGCCCACAATTTACACATGAAAGTTGAGTACAACCAAGTTAACCCGCATGTTGAAACTTGATCGTTGCGGTGTATTGGTGTAATGTACACGATTTCAAGGTGTTTTCTAGCCAAAGATGGTTGGCGGGCCGCACACAGGTTTTGTAATTCATTTTCGTGGGCTGCGCTTTGCCCACCTGTTGATTGTGGTTCACCAAATTGTAGTAGACTAATAAATCCCTCTCGGAGCTTGTGCCTTAACATCAAGTTCCAAAAGTGAAATTTCACAAGACAACAAAAATAATAAAGAATAAGAGAAATTATGAGTGTGACAATGACGATGGTGATTTATTATGATGATAAATGATTTATGTATGATTATGATGGATAGTGGTAGTGATGGTAAATGACGATAATGATAATTAACGATACAGTGTTAACGATGCCGTTACTAATACCAGCGAATAGCAATGTTTTATCACAACACGTTCTACTTATGAAACTAAAAGTGCATGGTTTTTAATATCAGGGAACAACAGTTACCTAGTTTGACACAAACCAGCCTGAATATGCGTAGGTTATTACCGTATCTGCAGCTTAATTCTCACTATACCAAAACATTGATGGTATTTCATCCGAAAATACCTTTAAATACCAGTTATGCATTCATATTGTAGCCACATAAAGGGAAATCGTAGTCATTGTTCTAAACACCATACAAACCTCCAACACAAACACAAGCAAACAAAACAGGAATGTTTCATTCAGACCAATTCACGCATAAGTGAAAATGATTAATTTCGCCCAGTGAACCATAAACGCATTGGTACTGTTATGCAAGCAAGTACTCGCTTAAAATCAATGAATTTTCATCGCTCCTATCTGGCTATAAAAAGGTACAGTATACAGTACTATAGATGATTTTGAATTGTATTGGTTTTAAATTTTATGGAGGAAGTGCTCGCTTTTGTCCACACAACTGAATAATATAATATTGGTTGGAAAGCGTTTAGGTGAATTATATTATCATGGGAGAGGGTGCATGACTCAGACTTACTCGAAACGATAGCATGTATTTAGGCAAACCAATAACTATGTGGATGGGTTCCTGGTGGACGACACGAGCAAAAGCGGGCCTACATGCATAACTGATGGGATAGTAGAGTAATACGCCCAAACGCGGCTCAGGGCCGTGAAAGGTAAAAAAAAAACTGATGCGTAATTTCTTTAACTTTTTAGATTTACCTATAATGTTTATCTGTAGGCTACATTTCTCTTACAGCACTTCCTCCTGTACCCCCATGGCGTTATTTGATGTCCGTTTGTCTTCAATAATAGGAGACAGCCAAATTTCATTAGGAGACCTACTATGGGGGTACAACATTTGTACACCTCCGTGGGTATACAATGGCCACTTTAATAGTCGGTTTGGTTGATAGTCAAAGATTTTTTTTCTAAATAAATTTTAATATGAAAAAATTAAAATTATAAAATATTTTTAATTATAATATTTTTAAATTTATTAAAAATTAAGCCACTATGAATGATAATTGAATAATGAGCAATGTTCACCAACACTTCGTTATTAAAGATTCTACCACATAAATCTTTTTAGAATTAACTCAGAAGATTAAAGAATAATCAATTGCTGTCCAAAGCAATGTCAAGTGTTGGGAAAAATCATATCTTTTATAAAGAAAAAATATTATAATGATGACAAATGAATTAAATAAGAAAAATTTAGTGACATATCTTAGAAAATAAGAGAAACATAAAACAAAGAGTATTAGAAAGTATTAGAATTTACAGATTTGTATATTACAGTGGGTGGTGGTTTTGTGAAAAATATTGTTTGTTATTTTACTGATGTTTAATAGAATGCTTGACAGTACAGTAAAACCTTGAATAGAACCACTGGAAGGGCTTCTTTTCGAGATGGGCACCTTTTCGAGATGGGCTTCTTTTCGAGTCTACTTCTGGAACTAAAGAAGAGGGCATCTTTTCAAATTGAATGCTGTAAAATTTGGAATTGCTGCTATACGACATTTTTCAACTATGGAATTCGAAATTTTGTTTCATTTTTTTTTTAACCATAAAATGATAATTAACCATATCTAATAATATTGATACTGACACGCTATCATAATATTCGTCTATCTGGAAAAAGCCTATTGGCCTCTCTTCGAGATGGGCTTCATTCCGAGATTACTTTTGCAAACTGAAGAGGATGCTTCGTCTCGATGTTAAGCCCATGGGCTTCTATTCGAGGTTTTACGGGATATTTTGATGAGATTTTCTTATGTTTTAATAATCTGTTTTAATAAAATGTCCATTTAGCAGCACAAACCATTTTTTATTGAAAAAAAAATACGAAAAAAAAAAAGCAAACATGACAAATCGGTTACTCATTAAAAAAATCATAGGGTAGTCAAACAATAAAACTGTATTTTGCAGCATGTCAACATTTCAGTACCAAATTGTGGGCTCACTATGAATGGTCTGAACTTTAACTATGATTTAACATATCAATTCCTCTTTTGCATTTGCAATGCATATTTATTCATTCATTTGTATACTTTTCGAGAGTGGTTTTGTCTCCAATTCGTAAATTCTCTTAAATTGTATTGTTGTGTGTAGGGCTACCAATCGAAAGACACTTTGAGGATAAAGGTATAATTAATGTTTCGTAAATAACAACTCCCTGGTTAAATTGCAGAATTTATAAATAGACTGTTATGATTTCGCACTGCCATACGTAAAAGATGAAGTAATCGATATTAAAATTTCAGAATTAGTTTCACAATTCTTATCTTTAGTCTAATTGAACTTATCAAAATCATTGATCGTATAAAATATATTTAGATAAAATAAAAAAATTTCATATTAGATCCATTGATAACATGTTCTAAAATATAATGCAACTTCTATTGAAACTGTTAGAATTTATCATCATCATCATCATCATCATCATCATCATCATTATCATTTCATCATCATCATCATCATCATCATCATCATCGTCATCATCATCATTATTGTGTTTGTTTGTTATTATTATTATTATTATTATTATTATTATTATTATTATTATTATTATTATTATTACTAATGGCATCTTCTTACTATTTCAGGTTGTTGCGATGGGACCATCGTTTGTTTTGAACTTAATTTTGTGTTTATTAACATCAAATTTAATTCAAATTGCTACTTCAATACGCGTATATGACGTACAAGCAAATGATGCCAATATCGGTAGTCAAACGGCGGTTATATCGTGGAAAACTGACACCACGACCGATTCTCTTAACAGCACTATCCGTGGCTTCCGCATCGATGCAAACTACCTCTTTTCAAGAAAGGGGCACGAAATTCTTGATCCTGATATCAATAACGCCACTCTGATGAGGCTGCGCTCGGGTGTAACTTACAGAGCATGCGTAATTGTACTTATTAACAACATGTTCCGTGGGAATAAGGAGATTCATGACAACAGTGCATGTGTAAGCTTCACTACCGATTTCGTTCCCATAAATTCCTACTCCTTGACGGCGTTGGGTATCGCAATATGTATAATCATTTTATTCATTGTTACGCAATTGATTGACTTTTTGTGTCCAAGAGAAGGATCGAAACAAATTGAAGATTTAGAAGAAGGTGACAAAAACGAGTCTAGGAAAAAATCACATAATGTAGCTGAAGATAGCAAAAGAGAGCCGAGTAGATCAAACCGAAAGAAGAGGTCTCGCCGGTCGGATTCCAAGAGAAAACCTCAGACAGACAAGGACAGACATCAGAAAGGAATGAATAAAAAGAAAAACGTGGATGGATCGAAAGGCGGAGGAGGAAAGCATAAAAGCGTCAAAGCATAGTGCGACACACTTTTTTTTGTATTCTTATTATCAATAACCTAAAATTATATATTTTAATTCCTAACTTTAACTAGAGAGATAGGCCAATCTTCCTCAGATATAGTTAACGCCTGCATCAATCTACACATTAGCTCAGTGGTGGAGCGGGGGTGGGGGAGGGAGGTGGTGGGTAATTGTTGGGAAAGGGACCACATCCCATCAGAGAGCTCCAGCAAAACCCAATATTTTTACAGATTGTGAGAGTCTGAAATTAAAATAAGCTTTAAAAAGAGATTTTCCCATCGAACCACCTTAGAGCGGTTCTGGGCAGCAACAGGCCCCTGCCAACTTGCTCTCTCGTTGTAAACCATTTCTGGTGTCAAACCGTCGGACGGGCAAAAAAAAAATCACTGTATAGTACAATAAGATGTATAAGTTTATTCTGCAATTTAATTTCTTTAAAATTGGAAATGAAATAACAATTCCATACACACTAACAATGTAATTATATGTTTATTGATTGAATATCGCTCGATCATCATTGTCTATGTTTACTTTCCCTTGGTTATGTTTTCTATAATGTTTCGAAGAGTGTCACTAGTCGTATTTATAGGCTGATGATTCAAAGAGTTCCTTATACAATAGGCCTATAACAAATGTAATTGTAACAACTTTTTTTTCAACACAATACTGTAATGCATTATAAACTAAACAATCATCGAATCATACCTGCATTTCATAAGAAATGGTCAACTGAAAATGATGACATAGTTAATGTCGAAATATTAAATCCAGACACGATGGCGTGCATTTCGATACTTGGAGTGTGTATTCTATCTTATCTGAGATTATTCAGTGGACCTTTCGGTTTTTAGTAAATTTATGCAAAGATATAATTGCATAAAAACGAAAACAGTAAATAATATTTATCCTCTGTTATATTTTCGTAAATATTTTCATAATAAAATTAATGTACATTTTATTTTGGGTATTTTCTGTTACCGTATCTGCTTGAGGTTGTCGCTTGCATAAAAATAGATCCACATTGCAGGTTTGTCGCCCTCTATAGTGTAAAATGTTGTAACATTTGAAGTATTATTAGAATTCATTATTCATACACCCGAATCGCTAAAAACTTCATTATATTAAAGATATTGGAGGCGGGGTTACAGTTTGGTGTGAGAGGCTTGCCTTCCTAACCCCTAGTCCTAGGCTTTAATTCCCTCTGTGGCCAGGGGTTTTTTTTAAATTATTATATATATTTATAATGACAAATAATTCCTAAATATAGTTTTGTTAACGATTGTACTTGATTTTAGGTGTAAAGATAATGCCACAATATATCTTACCAACAACGAATACCATTTTTTACGTAAACTATGCTATAACTTGCCTTACACCACTGTGTATCTTAGACAATAGGGAGATTTCGCAACCTTACGAAAAACGATAACGAATACGTCATTATCATTATCGTCATTTATGCCTAAAATATTCTTGACAATATGCTATACGAGTATGAATTGCCTCGTTGAGACAGATATGCTACCGTACTGTAGGGGAAGGTTGTCTAAACTTTTGATGACGTAACGGCCCCGGCCCAAAACGCGACAGCGTACGTAAACATGCACGTGCGTGTGTGCTGGGAAAGACAAACGCAGCTCTTGCCTTCATTAGTAAGAATGGAAACAAAAACAAAATTACGTATTATATCCCACGGTTCATTATCCGTATTGCTAAACATCTTTTAAATGTCAATTGTTAATTTAGTATCAGTGATGTGTCTAATGTACAGTATCTTTCTTATCTTCAGTTGAATAGCTCAGTGGTTAAGATGCTTACCTTCTGATCCTGGGTTCAATTTCTGTCACAGCAGAATTTTTTCTCACGACTAAAAACTCCACTCCCTAAGCCTCATAGAGAGACTTAGTTTATAAAGCATCATTCTCATCCTGTAAGTGGTGAGTGTACTTGCTGTTGGATGTAGAGGGAATAAAATCTTCCAAATTTTCAAATATAATAGGCCTAATAATAATTCATTTTTTATTTTAAAAACTACACATTTCCATCGGCGGCACACGTCACGCGTAGCAAATGACGGTGCGTTCATAAAGAAAAGCTTTAAAACAACAGTGTATACAGAAACACAGCAATGTACAATACGGTGAATCAAGATGAACGATAACATTTTTAAAAAGTACTTATTTGTCAAACACCGTTTTTTTATACAATAAAAACGAAGTAAGTGTAAATTTCGTTCATATAAACGAATGTTCATCAAAATTAGGTTTTACAATGCATATCATCTTTTCTCTGTTATATAATCAGAAGACACATACGGAATTATTTAGTATAATTGAGAAGAGGAAAACATACAAGAATGCACAATTAAAGAAGTGCACACACCCATTAAATATGTATAAACTAGATCTAATACAGCCAGGTGCAGGATATTATTATTAGTTGATATTTTTCTCATTTTATTCTTCTCCTTCCTAGATTTTCATATTATCTATTAGTAATATTGTTCATCATTAGTGATCACAGCAACAATGATCTCCAATGGTAAGATATCGATTACCCATCATTAGAGATAGTGTTGTCGTCTCGTGATGGGTAGGCCTACGTTGCGATTAATCGCATAGCGTCCAAAATGCTACCTCACTATATCTCCTTGCTCGCAGTCGTGACCATTCCGATGGATTGTGTGATGTTTCACCGCGGCCTTCCTTGGATTCAGGTCATAAGACAAGACAAAAGGATTATACAACCGTCTTTCTTATTCAAAGCAGTTGTGAATCAACAAGGCTGATGCAACCCTGGCAATGTCAGATCGATAAAGTTTTGTATTAAGTCATCGTAAATAATACCGTACGACAGGCAGCCATAGGCAAGCACAGCTTTTACGTTCAGTAAGTGAAATTTTATATTATCATAGTTATAATATTTTACAACGAATTAAATAAACGCATATAACTTAATATTATATCATGCATTTGAAATTTTATATTATCATAGAATATAATATTTTACAACGAATTAAATAAACGCATATACTTTAACTTAATATTATATCATGCATTGGCTGTTGATCTGGTAACTGTCAACCAGGTCAACGACATTCTCTCCCTTTTAGTTTATTGGCGGCCCTGTTAGAAAAAGTGGATTAGACGCCTACAAATAAACTAAAAAAATAAATTGTGTAGGTATAAGAGACAGACATAACATAATAACATGCATAATTTTGTGTCACGTACATGCCTGCCACTGGCCATAGTGTGATGCTTCTTTCTCGAGAGCACAAGTTCTGCAGCAGACCACAATGGCAGTGGTAGGGAATACTACCACGGGCGAGCAAAGTGGAACCAACAAAGTTGCATTGTGTGTTATTGATTTTGTAATTCTAGTGAGCATGAAAACAGAGTGTTTAGTGTTTGTCTTTTCTCTGCATAAATAAATAAAGAATTAAGCCTAAATTAAACTAGAAGGAAGGCACAGTCTAATCAAAGACCGTTGTATAAGCCTATTTAATTGAATTTACTCTTTGAGTCCGGATTATGAAAATATTCAACCGTTATAGTTTTAAATGCAAAAGCTGGAACGGTGTACAAAGATTTAGGCCTATAATATCTGAACGGGTTTTCCGAGATACAACAAGGTGAAACATAAAGCAAATAAGAAATTATCTTCTTAAAACAGGGGCGGATACAGAAATGTCCAAAAAGGGAACCGGATGTGGGGGCCGAAAGTAGGGCCGATTGATACAACACTGTCGTAGGGGGTCCGGGGCATGCCCCCGCGAAATTTCTGTGTTCTAGACGCCCGAACATAACATTTGAGGCATTCAGGGCTATCATTTTTTTCTTTTTCTCTCTTTTTTTCATTTTTCCCCCTTTTTTTTACCTCCCAAAAAGGGGGGGGGGGGCGGCCCCCCTAAATCCGACCCTGTAAAATATAAATATTTAATTTCCAAAAACGACTGGAAGACATTATTTTTAAAGTGATTGAAAAGAAATACTTAACTTTATAGAGGCTATATCTAAATTCTGTCAAAATGTTTAGGCTAATGCTGTAATTTCACTGTTCCTGGGCTAATGTAATGTATGGTCACTCATATTTTATTTTTGGTATTGTGCCTTTTCCGTATAAGAGGCCGGATACAGGGAGACCAAACTTCACAGATACAAAAGAACACTAAAGCTAATAATGATGGTAAGTATCAAACAAAAACAAAAAAAATGTAGGCTACACAATGAACGAATCCTGCAGCTTTGACAAAATTGGTCCACAACCGGCGTCGAGGGAGTGTCATTTTCACAAGTGAATACACTCAAATCCCACCGGCAAGTTCGATGTAACAACAGCTTCTCTCTCGCCCAGTGCTTCGGGTCTACTGCCGACTGCAAAGAAAATGACGCTTCCCCAGTCCGACGCCGGTTCGGGGCCCTCTTTTTCAAAGCTGCATTAATTACAGCTGATCGTTTGTAATGTCGATTCGTTCAGACTGCCACCAACTGCCACCGACAAATCAGCCGACAGCGTCACATCAGGTATCGCACACAGGGTGAGAGGATTTGGATTCGTCGGCCGACTGTCGTACGTACGGCCGGAGTGTCCGGCTTGTAAATGTGAGGGTGGAAGTGAAAGGCACAGTCGCAGAAAAGACCACTGTTACCATGCTGTACTAAAGCAGGACCTTGGTTTATAAAGCACGGAGTTTGAAATTGATATTAAGTTAATTTTTTATCTCTTTTTTTCTCAGGAATGTATAAACACATCGTTTTGGTTGGCTTACTGTTCACATTGAATACCCTCAACACAATTCAAATCATAAGTATCACAATTACAGACATAGAAGCACACAGCGCTCTTATTTCATGGGAAATTTCTGAACAAGTTGAAGATGTAACAGCTACGTTGACTTTTTCTAGTTCTCGAACGCAGGACCACGTTGTCAGAGATCTACAAGATTTACGGTACATGGCAAACAATTTAAGAGCAAGTGAAGACTATACGGTTTGCGTTTATTACAACAATACCTCGACGACACCTCTCGAATCCTGTAAGGATTTCAGCACGAAGTATTCTCAGTCAAAACTCGCCGCTATCATTGTTGGATCATTCATTCTCTTTGTATTTTTGTTTCTTGTTGCAATCGACAATTTATGCAGACGGGATCACACTCGACAGAAACAGCTTCACGAATTCCTGGCCGGAGGCACTGCAAACTTTAATTCAACAAAGGCTAAGAAAGAAGAATTAATATTTACTGAGATCAGTCTTGATGATCCAGGCCCATCGGCTGCACATTTTAATAACAACAATAACTAGATAAAATAATAAATTTACAATCCTATTAGCAGGCCTATTAATTACTGTTAGTAAATACTAAGAATAGGCCCAATTCTATAATTCTAAATAGTTACAAGTAAATATTTAGGCCTATTTACTTTTATCTAAATATGTTGGGAAGTTTTGTCGTGTTAATTTCTGTTTGAATTGTTTTTAAAATTTGCAAAAAAATAAAATATCTTTTAAAAATACATATTGTCGTTAAAGTTATATTCCATAATATTAACAGATCTTTATATAATATAATTATAACGCACACAGAGTACCTACATAATATATGCAAACATAATAAAATTATAAATGTTATACATTTTATAGGACATTTGTTGTAACAATAAACATAATCTTAATTTCAAAGCATGACACATGTAATAGTGTACGTCTATAATTTTTCGATCTATTTCCGATCTATCAAGTAATATGTGTGCCTAATTTGACAATATTAGTAAGTTCGAAAGCTGGAGGAGAAAATAGAGGCATATATAGGCCTACATATATGTATATATATAATATAATATAAAACAGAAATAGACATAGTTACAAATAAATTGCTTCAGCTTTTTATACCACTGTTCATTCCATACTCCTCTGTTCCTATACACATCT